GCTATTTTCATCAAAAAGTTAAAAAATCATAACTGAGCTAAAATCCATCCAAACTACTTCAGAATATAAATATATACTGTATTTTATCTGCAGCAAATCATAAAGCCCAATAAATGTTTTAAAAAGCCACAGAAAAGACTTTGGTTTTTGGAGAAGATTCCCAGAAACTTTTGGGATTGAAAGAATAATTCTTACTGATCTTAAGCCCAAAATGGAACTGAATGGATAGAATAGAGTATATCTTTATATTTTGAAATAGTCTGGATAAATTTCGACTGAGTTATTAATTTTTTAACTTTCAATGAAAGTAGCCAAAAATGTGTTATTTCACCTAGTTCTTGCATTTTGTTCTCGAAACTAACATTACCACGGGATCTGGAGTGGTCAGAAATCTAAGTTTCGATTTATTTCTGAGGTTACTAGGCTTAACGGGACAGCTTGAAGTATGTCCCAGGACAACGCCTATCATCCGTAAACCGTGATAGATAGACAAGTCGCACTGCTAAGATCGATAGAGGGCACATCACACTATCTTAGGCATATCTGAAAAGTAGACGACGGTATAGAAAGCCATGGCACAGCGGCCTCTTTATTTTTCACCCGTTAGGTACACTACCTGCAGACCTCGATTTTCTAGTCCCCATATATGAGCAGATAGAGTGAAGCCTCCTCTAGAAAATGCTAAAACCCCGAACTTTCTAACTATTTTCATTACTGAGATATTCAGAAAATACACGAGGCCATTGTTTTCTTTTTCCGATAATAGTTTTCAGAATAAAATGGAAGAACAGGGTGAAAGCCTATACTACTATCGTTTTCTAAAAGCAGTGGCTCTGACTGTTTTTGAATAACTGAGGACAGCAGTGCGCTGGGATGTGAAGTTTTCACCATTCAATAGCCAAGACTTTATGTCATCTTTCCATAGCAAAAGCTTTGATCAGAAAATTTTCGAAAATCGGTTTTTGAAAACCGTTGTTCAGGCCAAATAAAACTTTTGTTAGTGCGCAGGATTATAGAGAAAATGTCTGGTCTTTTATTTTGAAGTAAATAATAAGTGTCATTTTTTAGCCCATATTTTTCTCTTCACCAGGCTACGTTCAACTCAAAATCGCAAATTTTGTGAAAAATGGGGAATGTGGCTACGGTTAAACCGTGTCCAACTTGCACGTCCGGTAAAACGGAATATCGACAGCTGGAATTTCGGCATTGTCGTTTTTGCTCAATATTTTCGACAAATTGTCGAAAGTTCATCTGATTTTCGACATGGTCGAATTTCAGGTTGTTTTTCGACTATTGTCTTAAGTCCTTGTAATTTCGACAATTGTCGAAAATCCATTTTTGCGGTGGTACATTTTTAAATTTTAAGAAATTGGAAAAGAAGAAGTTCATATGATGATAGAAGTGGAATTTCTACGATATCGTACATTTTGCCGAGCAACATGAATATGCTACACAGAATCAGTGAACTGCAGTCTTCTTCTAATAATTCACAAATGAAAATAAAATGACAAAATAAGACTTTTCTTTTCTCTTTTTCAAATACAGATCCCACATAGCAACCAAGAAAAAAATAGACTTTCTGTATCTCACAGCAACTGAACTGTGACAAATAAAAAATCCCACAAATTACAAAAATACACAGATTATAGATTATAAAAACACAGTGTATTATTTTATTATTATGCCCGGTGTATGCTATTAAAAATTTTACTTCAAGTGCAACCGAAAATTATTATCGAGTTTCCGTTGGATTTTCGACAATTGTCGAAATTGTTGGCGGCTTTGCTCTATATACTCGACGATACTGCGAAAATCCTTCGGAATTTCGCTAGTCGAAATTCTGATGGCGAAATTCTACGATAGCGCACGTTCCATCGAAATAGAATCAACAGTAAAATAAAAAAGGCTAAACTGTGTATGAAAAATTAGCTGTTTCAAAATCAAGACAAACTTTTACGTTTATTAAATTTCTTCGCTCAGAATTCCTGTGTTTCTCATATATGTCTCGATCTCATCTATAAGATATTTAACATAAAAGAAATACACGCCTATATTATTGTACTTCCTTTCGGTTCTTAATTGACGACAAGAAAAGGGACATTATTTTCGAACGGTGTTATTGAACTAAACTTACTCAACTCAGCAAATGTAATAAGAGAATGGAAACGGCTGATCTGATCACAGATAATATTTTCCGTTATCTAAACTTCGTCTGTTTCGACCTTCTAACAAAAATTCTTTATCTAAACCTTTTATTTCGATGACGATGGTGACAGCTCGATTGAACGCTCAATGAAGAAAATAAAACATCATCGTGAAGAACATATGCTCAATAACATTAAGTCAACAATTCAATTAATGGTAGCAAAAAAATTTAGCACTGGTGGTACTGATCGAAATAAACCTGTTATACAACACCTTAGGGAACACATATATATGGATGAATATCTGTTTTTGAGACGTGTATACAATATAAGTAGAACAATAGACGGTATACCAGTTCTCGTCATGATGTATCGGCAGAAGATCATCTGGAAAAATAAAGTAGAAAATATTACCCGCAGAGGGTGTACTTTTTCTTTGAAAGAAGAAATTATCAGAAGCGGTTTTTTCGTTGTATCCTAAAGTTCGAAGAAATATAGATAAAATCACTAGATGTTCTAAGAGCAGAAACCACTAGGGAATTAAATAACTTTACACCATCCCAGCCGCTATTAACGTGCAATATAAACAGCGATGTACAGTCTTATATGACTGATACAGACTCACGAGCGAACCTTATCGGGTGTCCACCTCCGATTTCAATGATTTATATATCGATCGATAGAAGATAGTGAGCTATTAAAAACCCTAAAAGGATTTGGGCCCTTGTCGCTTCTTTCAAAAGTTATGGAATTTTTTCTCGTTATTCCTAGTGAAACACGAAAAAATTAAAAATTTTATAACTCTCGCAAGGAAAGGAATTAAGAGTTCAAATTTTTTTGTGTGGCTAAGTTTCAGCATTTAAATTGGTTCCGTTCAGAGGTTACACAACCTTTGAGTTTTCCAAGGGTTTGCTATTGAATACGCTCACGATGAAAGAGCCATAAAATCGTCAGTTCACCGGAGTATCAGAATATAAAAATTATATAACTCAGATTATTCAGCATGTACACCGATCGAAACTACCTCAGTTCATCAAAGCTGTTAGCATGAGGATTACTTTTCACGACTAAATCATACGAAGACGAGTTACACTTCAGACCACAAGTGTATACTAGAAAGCTTTTTGCTGTAGATTCGAAGACGTTATACAGCCTCTCCAATCTTCGAAGCTGATTTGGATCAGAAAAAAGATCTTGTTATTGGTGAAAATCATCGTCGAGTCGCAAACAATCTACTCTTCTGTATTCATCGTATGAAAAAATTAGTCGTAACAACAAAAGAACGTCAACGATTTAAATTGGACAATCATTGTTGTTTGTCAATTAAATTTGCTGAAAATAGCATTATTGAAAAACGAAGATATCGTTAAAAGAGACACACCTGAACGTTAACAGGTCATTTACGTCCTATTAAATGTCAGTTGTTTTTGACCTGGGAAATGACAAATAATTAAATATTATAAGTAGCAGATAACTTATAACCAAGCGTAAAAGAGATGATGATAGTGATGGTGACGATGACGTAATATTAACAATAGGAATGGAAAGAGGCGAAGGAAAAACAAAAAGAATGAAAAGAACTTCGTCAAGAAGAAATGAAAAAAGTGCTGTAATATTACTATGCAGTATATTATATGAAAACATCATCAGTTTTAGACATCTGCTGAAAAAAATATTGTTGCATTTATTTTCTTGTAGATGAAAATAAGTGTATCTGAATGTTTTTTTAACTGATAACTTTTCTTTTTCCCGTATAGTTTTTCTCTACTCAAATTAATTCTTGAAATTTTAGAGAATTTTATTACCGATCTTTTTATCCATACATTTTGAAAAACTATGCAAATCTCTTAAGAGAAAACCTATGTAAACAATGGTGTTTAAGCTTCACGACTGAGAGATTCCGCTACCATCCGTCCAGAATCAGAGTGGATTCGGTTGTTTTTTTAATAGAACGACAGTTGTGATTCTCGCCATTCGAGAGAAGAAACTTTGAAGTATTGTTTAACAAAGTTGGAGACTCTTGGAAACCTGTTCGAATTTCTGAAATTTGAATTAGCATTACATTCGTTGTTTTTGCGGATTATGTATTGTTTAGTGGATTACTCAGCTTTAAAAATTTTGTTTTTTTTATAGGTAATTGGATAGCAATGTTTATTACGACTACAATAACCGACATTTCTACTAAGCCCACATTCACAACAATGAGCCCGCCTGTTCCTCGAGTCGATCCGGTAACTGGTGAAAAGTATTATACATCTGAAGATGCGATGAACTTATTACCAAAAGATTATGAAGAATGGATCTATTCTAACAAAACAGAGCATGTAGATGAAGTTCGATTATACGCATCCAAATTCTGGAATATTGTTTTAACAAAATCACCACCATTTTTGCCACTTGTGTTTTGGCCACCTGTTATTTATTATTTATTTATGCTCCTTTTACTCAGACACGATTTTATTGTGCATGTATTGGTTTAGTTTTATGGTTTCCTTGTGAATACTTATTTCATCGTTTTCTATTTCATTTACCTGTGACTGGTCGTAATAGTCAAAAATTCCACTTGTTTTTACATGGAATTCATCATCTAGCACCAAAAGATTTATGGCATGTCTTTTCTCCAGTGCACGAACTAGGAGTCCAGGCATTAGCAGTTGGATTATTTTTCTGGTTAATTGGTCTTCCAGATCCAGTAGCTACGATGTCTGGTCTTCTGCTTAATTATATGCGTTATGATAGTATTCATTACTGCATCCACGCATATACACCAAAACAATTATCGAAAATTCCATTTATTGGTAATTATTTGAAACAATGTGCTATTCATCATCGAACTCATCACTTTGTTAATCCAAAAAAACATTTTACTATTAGTTCTGTGTCTTCATTAGTCGATTAAACAAGACAAAAAAAACATACTTTAATATTGGTAAGAATACGCTTTTCACGTTTTTTTGCAAGCTTTTATGCTCCTTCCTGTTGTTGTTCATGGTTTTTATAAAGTTTTGCTGGTCATCAGTAAATAAACTAATGGTGGAATCAGCTGAATCTTGTGGATCCTGATGAAACACAACCTGTTTTACATTTGCAGGTAGTTTTTCATACTTATCGAGTCACTCTAACAACAATCAGATGGTGAAGTATGTCGAACACATCATCTTCTTCGGAATAAAGCTAATTATAAATGTATAGAATCGACATATTCATTGTTTTTGGAAGTATCTCTTTCATATATTCACATGGTACCAGTTAAAAATGTATCTCTAGTATTTTGAGCAACTTCAATGAAAAGTGGTATTCTTTGTTGTTATTTTATCTCTAATGCCGGTAAGGCAGCATATGTTTTTTTCCACCTTTACATTTCCGGATACGGGTGTAAAAATTGCACCTATGCACATCTCTCATAAGAAAACTGCTTATTTGCCAGATGCTTTCTTCACGATAAAAAATGCTAATTATCAAAAAAATTAGCGTGTTCTCGCTAATTAACACAAATTTTGAAACGTCTGTAAAATATAGCGGATATTTGAATCTGAAAAAGTAGTGAATCTTTGCTAAATAATGCAAGTAAATATTTGCTAAGAATTCTTTGTAGCGAATTAACAGAGCGTTCGCACTATTCATTACTGCCCGTTGGTGAAACCCGTTTTCACAGCATCATATTACATACAAGTAGTGATATGACCGTTTTACCCATTAATTCATTTTACCGAGAGACATTTTATGATATGTCAGACAGATCTTAGTCCATTTTTCAAAGGGTTCTTTAGACTGTAGATAATAATAAATGCGGTTTTGTTTGAAGAGTACGGTTGTTGGTTTAGCCTCTTTTCATGGAACGTGGTGTTTTATGTATTCATCACAATTATTGATATTAAAAGGACCCTGACGGATTTGGTGACCCCCTTGAAACAAGAAGCTAAGTATACAGTTTTGTAGAGCAGCTCAAGACGCATCGAACGATATATAGTGAAGTTCATTTTCATACCAGCATACAGGATCCAGAGTCAATTTTCTGGTCGGTCGTCACGATAGCTATCTGAACCTATATCGATTTTAGTGTCAGTCACAAGAAGCGAAAAAAAATATTTCCAATCTATACTTGCGTAGATATCGTCTTGGGCTACACGCCGATATATTCGATGTTTCTGCTCGCCTCATATTGAAGGAGAAAAATGAGACTTTTTATCGATTTGTATGGTTTATCGATTTTAATGTTTCTCAGTATTTTGAGTCGTGTACCCCACGAGAGAAGTGAACAGAAGCCAAATTTTGCTAGAAACTGTGTGCGAGTTCGCTCTATAAAATGCACTATTCCAAAATTCATCTAAGGAGGCGCTTCATACTCAAAACTGCTTCTCATTGAAAAGACTCGTCTCGCGTTAAGCGACCTTTACTCAAAGTATTTACATCATTCCACCTCTTTCACCTATACCATATATCAACTATTTTACACCGTTAGATAGAAAATTTCACGAGCTTCCGAATGATATATAAGATAGTCTTAAGAAAATGCAACTGGATAGTCTAACATCCGAAACACTCTGTAGCATCCCAGTAAACCGCTAGGTCAACGTCATTCATGTCTATAATAATGACTAATTTTCTCGTTAACCACTCGACTTTACCTATCATTCGATAGAGAATTTCACGGGCTTCACAATGCGCTATAAATAGATCTTTCAAGGATATGCCCACATGGGTCAATTGTCAAAATACTTGACTGTTATACTGATTTTCACCTTATTCAGATTGGCTTCAGGTTTTACTAAAAGATCTAAAACAAAGGAGTTCTTGTGATTATCACACACTGTACTGCATAGATAACACCCCAACGCTTCTTTTCCATATCGTTAATGGCTGGTTCCACCTGTCTGAATATTCTGACCTGCTCACATTGTAAAGAATTTCAAGGGCTATCCAATGGTATGCTTTAGAAATATACATAATTTTTCATTATGGCAGAAAAATAAATAAAGGAGTGTTTAAAGCACTAAGATAGGACATCAATAACATCAATAATTGTGATGAATACATAAAACACCACGTTCCATGAAAAGAGGCTAAACCAACAACCGTACCCTTCAAACAAAACCGCATTTATTATTATCTACAGTCTAAAGAACCCTTTGAAAAATGGAGAAGTGAAGTGAAGAATACCCTAAGAAAAAATAAACGAGCATATTTTAGAAGTAGTCGTTTACCTCCTCGTCAAACTTTCAGGCCTGATTAGTCGGATACAACAAGGAAATACTAGCCTATTAGCCATGTAAACACAAACATGGGGCAGATTCAGCCTCGAAATCTCATTCCAATGTTCATGCAAGGATAATAGTGAAAATACATGCTATAATTTTTGGTGTTTGTTTTATTTTGTCACCAAATCCACCAGGGTGCTTTGAATCTATATTTTCCATATCGGACAATGCCTAACACCATTTGCGTTTCTCATAGTCAAGACGCCAGTTTGATGTGCAAATGTGATCAATGACAACGTTGTTGAAGTCTACCCTTAGTACAAAGTGAGGAGATCACCTAAAGGCGAGGTATTTGAGACCATTGAAGACGCCCAGTCGTAACACAGAAAACATTGTCCAATAATGTTTTGTGAGTTGTAGTGTATGTTGAGAAAGAAGGGATCAGATGAAATACAGATAGAGTTTCGAGTAGGACTTTAGGTACATTAGAATTGTTAGTCAGGTCTGCGTTAAAATCCCCAGCCATTAATAATTGGGATGCTGGCTGGACATGATCTAAAAGAAATAGTTCGAACCTCTGAAAGTTAAGAGTTGTAAATGAAAACTATAATGATCATTACGATCCAGCTAATTATAGATCTACTATACTACTTCCTATTTAGTCGATAATAAACTTTTTAGTTAAAATCAGTCCTGTTTCAAACATAAAGATTCATAAACATAAAACGAAAAACTTCAAAAATCCGGCTCTCTGCCGTTGTAGGTTTTCTCTTCAAAATAAAATTGTCGTGACTTTTTCAGCAGAAAAGCGGAAGTAGAAATCGTATGGCCAATTTCGGCATATTAAAAATCATTAATCATTAAAGTCATATAAAAAATCGTCTGACTCATTCTTAACAATTTTTGATGATAATATTCAAGTGTCAGACGTTTACGGCAGTACGGACGAAGAAAATAACGCTACATATTGCTTAACTTGATTTCTTGTAGTCTTAAAACTGTTTTGTCTATGTGACCTACAATAAAGTTCAAAAACAAATCACATATACCTCATGCGCCAAAGTCTTTT